CCTTATAGAGGTTTATAAAATCATGAGGGGAATGGATAAGGTAAATAGAGAAGGTCTTTTCGCTGCTGTGAGGGAGTCCAAAACTAGAGGGGCATAGGTTTAAGGTGAGAGGGGAAAGATTTAAAAGGGACCTAAAGGGCAACTTTTCACACAGAGGGTGGTGCGTGTATGGAATAAGCTGCCAGAGGAAGTGGTGGAGGCTGGTACAGTTACAACATTTAAAAGGCATCTGGATGGGTACATGAATAGGAAGGGTGTAGAGGGATATGGGCCAAATGCTGGTTAATGGGACTAGATTTATTTAGGATATCTGGTTGACATGGACGAGTTGGACCAAAGGATCTGTTTCCGTGCTGTACATCTCTATGACTCTTAGTCTGGCCTACATGTGCCTCCAGACTCATGGCAACGTGGTTGATTCTTAACTGCACTCTGGTCTCAGAATCCAGTTCTAGAGCAATTAGGGATAGGCAACACACGCTGGCTTTGCCAGCAATGCGCATATCCCATATAAAGAGAAAAAAATGGCATACTATTGTTCTGAAGAGAGTATTCCCCAATCCTACCCCGCAAATTGCCCAACCTCACCTCAACCCCCCCCCCGAATATTGATGGAGATCAGTAACCAAATGAGAGAATGTAACTGCAACAAGACCAGGAAAGTTTGGGTGAGGTTAGCTAGAGCAACAGAGATGTTTAAGGGAGAAATGGAATAGATTTGTTGAAAATAATGAAAGGATGGTGAGGAGTGGAAGTGGAAGTGATAAATATCATTTCTTTTACCTAAAGCCAGCATCTTGCTTTGTAGCAATGTGGTCCATCCACTCCAGACCCTTGTACTCATTCTAACCACAATTCCGATCCATTCGTGGGGACTGGCTGGAGTAGAGGTCACACACTGTGCTTTCCAACTCTGAGGCACCACAGGCCTCCCCCTCCATCTTTTGCGTTGTTACCCTTTCTTTTCTCCTTTCAGCCATCCGGATAAAGAAACCAATCAAAACCAAATTCCGTTTGCCGGTGTTTAATTGGATGGCTTTGAAACCCAACCAGATCAACGGGACAGTCTTCACTGAAATCGATGATGAAAAGATATTAGAGGTAAGTCGGGTGATTTATTTTGATTAATCTTGCCCATTTCCCTGAAACCCCCTCACCTCTTTGCTTCAAACGGAAACCACCACAAGCGACATGGGTCAACGTGGAGGGCTGCGGAGCTCTGAAAAGGTCAGGGCAAATCTCAGCTTGCATTCTCATCCCCTCTGCCTGCCCAGCTACCCTCTTCACCCACAAAATATATTGAGCATTGCAAATGGCCTGATTAACTTTGCTGTTCTGAAGTTTTCTTTCACTGTTTCAAACTGCGGACGCTTTTGTCCAATCTGTCCTGGGTGTGAATCTGAACAGCCTAAGATTAGCTCAATATGGGTGTATGATGACAGTAGGATATTGATTGCAGAGCTGCACAAGTGTACACATCATCTAGGCTAACAATGGGAAGAAGGTACAGCAAGCATAGACAGTGATGAGATTAGATACTACAATCCATTGCCCATTACCTTTGGTCACATAGACCCAGAATGGGTGAGGATCAAGGATATGGCAGAATTGTTTTTGAAACACATTGCCAGAGCAGGGGCTGTTTTCTTTTATCCCCTCCCCCTCCCCCAAGGCTGTGGTTGACACTGGGCTAAGGTATTACCTTACATCTACCTGCTCAACCTGGTCTAGAGACAGACTGGGTACATAGAATGGAATAGAATCCAGTTTTTCTCCACTAGAGATCTGATACCTTGGTGAGATTTGGTTTGCATAAAATTTGCCTTTCTATATTAAAGGCTTTGTCCCTGATATTAATGGTGCAAACCAAACTGGTTGAGCAGGTAGTTAAAATGGAGTGGGAACTTGGCTTGCTACCACCCTTGTTTCCCACTCTGATATAGCTATCCCAGTTCCCAGGCAGTCTCCATGTCCTCTCCAAGCCCAGCCCAAACTCCATCCTCCAGCTCTTCCCTCCCCCATATACATTACAACTTCCAGACAACCTCTGTCTTTCTGCCCAATCTCTGTACTCACCTCCATCACGTATGGTGTGAGAGACATATGTAGGAGAAATGCAACAGCAGAAATGAGAGACTTAGATTAGGAGGATGGTATGTGTCAAACTGAGACAGAGAGCTAGCAATGAAAGTGTGGGAGAACTGAAGCAAAAGAA